CATTGTTCATTCGACGGCTATATTCACCGTCAACGCAGATCGTCCAATAGATTTTTCGGAGAATTTTTCTTTCAAACTCTCCGAGAGCTGCGTAATACGCATGCAAATGAGGCATGCGCATTGCGTAAGTACCCATGCTTTCGATCCATATGACAGCAAGGGTAGCATCAGCGTCTTGTAGAGTGCGAGTTTGATCTGGCGGGAGGTGGCCTTTTTTCTAAACTGCTTACTTAGACCATAGTAGCATCTGTTGGCTATAACTATTTGATATCATTAGTTTTATTTATGGCGGTACTAAGGTATATAAAATCTTTGACTACCTCGAAGCTGTAGTTTTCAAGTTCCACAGTTGTTCCGAATCTTCTCGCCGTTTACTGCCAGGCCCATTTTGGCAGACTCCTCAATTTGTTCAAAGGTGACTGTTACCGCTCTCAATGTTCTACCCATTACGCCGATGTCATCGGCGTAGCCGAGTAACATGTGTTGTGTGGTGTACGGAGTACCATTTCTGTTCACCTTTGGCTCTCGTATGTCCTTTTCCAGCAGGTTGTTAAAAAGGTCACACGACAAATTGTCACCTTATCTGAATCCTTGTTCGGTATTAAAGGGCTCCGACTTTAACTGCTGATCTTGTTATCGTGCATAGCTGAATTAATTTTCCATGGCGTATAAGTTTAAAAATCCACTGGATTTATGGCTAGTATTAAAATACCGATTTTGTAGAAAATTTTGCAGGTTCTGTAATTGAATACTGGTCTCACTTTCAAAACAAAAGATGCCATCAGGTGTGAAATATTGCATGCCGTTAAGTTGATAAGCCAGTGCTTCGAAGGCAAGGAAGAACGAATGGCGACCAAAAGTCTAAGAAGGCAACCAGTGCCTTCTTAGGCGACCAAGAACCCAACACAATTAGCGAAAAGAAATTAACTCAGATTAGGAAACATCTAAAGGTCGTGAGGGTGAAGTACGCACGTAAGTATCCTTAAAAGGCCAATAGGTAAACCCGCTATTCGAAATAATTCCTACATCGCGTACTGGGACTATCCCTCCTGTCATTACGTTCAGCAAGTTGGTGACTTAAGGTACCCAGAGTACAGAAGCAAAAGTCTCAAACATATCCGAGTCAGAAGGTAGGAAAAGTGTTCGTAACACCAAAACGGCGAACGATTTATTCCACCTTAGAGGGAACACCTTTTGGTAGTCGTTAATAAATTATTGTTCAAAAAATCCCCGTCTGTGATAATCCTTAAAAAAAGGATTATTAAAAAAATTTACGCACGGACCTGCTGGTCCTCAAAAAAATATTCTATAAAAATGCACGCACGGTTTTGCTGGTCCTAAAAAAGTATCCAAAGAATGAACGTACTACTCACATGGTCCTGAAAAAATATTCTGTAAAAATCCAAAACCCTGAAAAAATATTTTTTAACCCTTTCAGTGTCAAAAAAATTTTTGTCGGAATAAAAATCTAAAATTTTGTACTTAAAATTATATAAAAGCATAGAGTTTAGAAAAAAAACAATTTTCATTTTAAACCTCGGACAGTTTTGTCTGTTTTTCAGCAAAAACAAAATCATGTTAACGGTACATAGGGGATAACCGAAAAATAGCAAAGAGAGAATTTTTAAATGTCGAATATATTCAACAAAAACACTGAAAGGGTTAAAAATCCACGCCTAATATAGACCCTGAAAATATTCTTTAACAAATCCACGCTATTGTTAGACCCTGAAAAATATTTTAAAAAATTCACGCCTTTGGTAGGTTCTAAAAAAATGGTCTTTAACAAATCCATGCTCCTATGAACCCCGAAATATATTCTTAATACCCCGAATAACTTTTTTTTTTTAAATCCTATACCAAATCTGTTCTCCCAAATAATAAAAACACACATTTATATTTCCTGGTTAATTTCTTTTTATTTCAAAACTAATTAATTTTTGTTTCATAAAAAAATTAAACGATTTTTTTTCATTTTCTTTTGTTCGTCCTCTTCCCTAGAAAAAATCATATAATTGATTAATAAAATATCATTTATACATACCTTAAGAGTTCTGCGAGCCGGGTAGAGATCAGTTTGCCACAAAAAAATCTCCAATCGCCATCACCATAAAACCTGGACCACCTGTCATATATATTTACATTTGTATGTTTTTTGAAGAAAAAATATTGAATCGATCGAGAGAATGGAATCATCACCACCACACACCAAAAAGGAAAACGCAGCATTAAAACGAACACCGCCGCTGCCGCCAATTACAAGGAAAATACTGATTGACTCTGCATATTTTGAAGTTGAATGAATTAATTTACAGATAGACTGGGGGTTTGTCGTCGTTGACTGAAAACTCAGGAAGCCTGCCACCAAAAGTGTTCTTGTAAAAAAGTCGGCAAATTGTCTAGCTCTAAATATCAATGCAATTGAAAATACACCACCACAGGAAGATACCGACGACGACGCTACATTTTCTGCCATTATATAGACCAGCTTTTTTGTACGATGAAACGCACGAAATTAAATTAAGGTCGCCAGCTAAATGTGCGTGTCAACTCGAATCAGCCGCCATCAGCTAAATCAGCAGTTTGTTATAATGCCGCCGCCGCCAACGCCTTTTTTGTATTTATGAAAAATGGTTGGAGGAACTGCTGCAGCATTAAACTCGAAAACCGCGATTGAAGAATCTCAAAAGACGAATAAACGGCAAACCACCACCTACTTAAATTGCTGCTGCTGACTACATTTCTGCACAAGATATTGGCTGGTGAGATGATTTGTTGTACTGCAGCGCGCACGCACACACCCACCACCACCAGGCCGCCACTCTGAGATGTCACCACAATTCTTATTGAATGATCGATCTAAGAGTGACTTGGCAGCAACAGCATTTAGAGGCCGGCCACCATAAACAATATTTGTTCGTTCGTGATTGGCCTTAGATGAAGATGGCAGCATCACACAAAGTGGCCGAAAATTAGGAAGTAAACAGCAGCCAGCCGGTAGATCAGCAGATTTAGGTGATAGGTCTATATAAAAGCAGGCTCCGCAGCAAAACGCCAAACCAAAAAACCGCTTGCTCGCTCGCCGCACACCCATCACACACAACACCATAATTATTTCTGGTTAACTCCCATACACCAAAACATTATTACACTCCTCTCCACTTCACCTTCTTCTCCTTCTTTAACTCCTATACTCTTATATATTTCACATTTTACATTTTTTTGATTCATTCATTCGCCTGCCTTGCCTGTCTGTCTGCTCATTTCTTGATCTCTGCTCTGCTTAAAAGAACAGCCAACATAAACCGCTTTTTATTATAGCATTGCCTGTATTGTATATAAAATTTTTGGAAAATTATTAAAATTGTAAAAAGCACATAAAAACAAAAAAAAGATTTTTGTTGTGACACAACAACAGTAGTAAGTAGTATACAGTGTAAATAAAAACAGAAAAAAGGAAAAATATTAAATAAAATATAATTTTTTTATATGAAATAGAATATTTTTTGTTTGTTTCATCCTTTCTATTATCTTTTTAAGATACCTAATCAAAATCCTTACGGTGGATGAATGATATGGTGTTTTTTTTGTCACTCATACAAGTAGCATTACAATATTTTTTTATTAGTTAAACTTGTGTGTATTTTCTTTTCTTGTTTTGTATTACAACTAATAAAAGCTACTACTACTAATATTAACCTAAACAAAAAAAGAAACCTAACAATAAAGGAAAAAAATTTAAACAAATCGAGAAACTCTGCGGGTTAATGCATGACAAACTCAAAATATGGCCTTTGAATTAATGATTTACAAAAAATAGATTAATTTCAACATTGATTCGATTTTGTTTTCAATAATTGCAATAATTTGTATGATTTTTGTATGTATATGTATATATATTTGTTGTACGATGAAAATTTTGAGACTACATTTATATTGGTTGCATTATTATTATTAAGTGTTATAATATTATTTTTAAAACACTAGTATGGTTAATTTTAAGAAATATCAATTTCATCATCCCATAGCAAAAAATTGCAGAATGAGAATTTTCGTTAAAAACGTTTTGTGGAATTTTGGATGGTTGGAGAAGAATTGAATGAATTACATGAGAATATATAATACCAATCAATTGTTTGTTGTATGATTGAAAAATGAATGATTAATAATTATGAAAAATAAAAAATTAAATTAAATTCAAAATTTTTTTGAATAAAATGTAATTTATACTATGTTCTTTTCTTCTTCACAATATTATATCTTCTTATTTTTTCTCTAAAGTTAAAGAAAATCATTTTCTTTTAGTTTACTTTTTTTGTATTAGTTCTAAGATTTTTTTAAAAACAAATTAGGCTTTGTTTTTTTCTGTATTACTATTTTTTTTACCGTATGTTTAAAATTAAAAATGTTTTGTGTTTTTTTTTTCTAAATTTAAAATATTTGTTTTTGTTATACCTGCTGATACAACAGCAACGCAACATATTTTAGATGTGGAGTTAAAAAAGTTGTTGGAAATCTCCCCATCAGCAAACAGCCGCCAAATGAAGTTTCTGTATGATGAGATTAAGGGATACCTGGAAGAAAATAAATACATAGATAAAAACAATTGTAAAAAAGTCATTGATTAATCTTCATAAAAATTAATCAACCGAATAAGACCCTTTTTTAATTTAAACTTTAACTTTAAACTGACCAATTGGACTTTATAAAGACCTGTAGTCTCTATACAGACCAACTGGTCTTCATAAAGACCTATCGTCTTTATAAAGACCAACTGATCTTCATAAAGACCTATGGTCTCTATACAGACCAATTGGTCTTTATAAAATCCATTTAGTATAGCAATTCTCCACAGCACTCACCTTCATAGTTTTGCACGGTTTGCACAAATTTGTTTGTTTTTCATGTGCCATCGTGCATTGTAGTTTTCATCTTTTTTTCTGTTACTCTATGTATATATGTATGTGTGTGTTTGTTTATATGTATACTGTTGCGACTTCTTATGTTGATCTACTACGTGAACGTGATAAACTACGTCCTCGATCGCCAATACCACCCAAACCGGCACCAGATAACCCATTACGGCTACCACTACGGCTGAGGGAACGTCTCACCGGACTGCGTGAAAACTTGTTACGTCTGACGGGTGATCGACTTTGTGGCGAACGAGAACGTGAATATGAACGACGACGTGGGCTACGTGAACGACGTCGCACTGGTGAACGTGAACGGCGACGACCGCCACCACCACCACCGCCTCCACGACGACCGCCATTGCGGCGATTATTATTGCTGGGTGATGTGGGACGGCCATAACGTGCCATTTGAACACGCAACTCCCTGCCGTCTAATTTGCGACCGTCCATAGCTTCCAAAGCCTCTTCGGCATCACGTTTGTCATAGAATCTGTAAGTGAAAGGGAGAGTTCATTTAATTGTTTTAATAGTTTACTATTAAAAAAATAAATAAATAAAAAGAAGTGTTGCTTTCGTACGTAGGTCATCTAGTAATAGTTTGGTAGACAACAGTTGCAAATTGAAAACAATTATTTTAGCACTTTCCTGCATATGTAATCATTACTGGGTTTTTATAAAAGATCACAATTAAAGGCAGATGGTGCAAATTTAAATGAGGCTTCTATATATTTTAAGTGAAAACAACAAAACGTAATGATAAACAAAGAAAAGGGTCGTTATTTGTTTTTAACCTGCACGTATTCCAAATACCTAAAATCGATCGGGGCACTTTGTATAAAATGGGATAAAATACATATATGGAAGCTATATCTAAATCTGAATCGCAATTCAATTCTTAATCGGACAAACTCCGGGTATTTGGTGCACATTTTGTATGAAATCGGACAAAGATACATATGTAAGCTCTGTCTACATTTTGCAGGGTTTATCCTTGTGATTCAAATAAATTGGCTGTGCCGCCAATAATTAGGATAATAAATGTAAACTTCATATTGTTTATAAATATACATTGATCGGTAGATAGGATGAACGTACCGGCAAATGGACTCAAAAAGAGATTCGTAACTGTGGTGGGTCTATTACGTTTCATTCTGTACATTGCTATGGTCATTGCCCTGTACTATGTACTGCCCTATACCATAGTGTGGTTTAGTGTATAAAATCACCCATTGATTAGGCGTATGTACCCCAACCATACGGTATAAAGAATTGCAGTATCCAACCTAATTATATAAAAATTTTTTGATTTGAATTTGAAATATTTGCATTAAATTAAACAAACCCAAAACATGGTACATTATCTTGGATGATGATGCCCTCCAATAATCAATTTTTTTGCTGTTTATCTCGCATTTTGTATGTATGTATGCATGTGTGTGGGGTGGTTAATAGGTATACACACACAAAATTCGGTGGAAAAAATCAAACCGCACCAAACGTCAACATTCTTATTCAATAATAATACAAAAATATGTTTTAGAAACCCTTTTCAATTCTAATAAAAAAATTAAAAACAACTTAAAGCATATGGTTTTTTCGTTGGATACACAAACTTACCTAACAAAGGCGAAGCCCCGGCTTTCACGAGTATAACGATCGCGTGGTATATAAATGTCACCAACATCACCACATCGTTCAAAGACACGTCGTAAATCTTCTGGTGTGGTACGATATGTTAAATTATCAACCTAAAATTGAGAGGAGAAAAGGAAATGTTTAACTTTTTGTTTTCAAATTTTGCCACCATTCATATTCATTCAATGTGAAAAACCGCAGCAATTTGCATTTTTTTGTTGTATCAGAAAGAACCGCCGCCATCTTGTTTTTACCACACCAAGAAGGCGTCGTCATCATCATCAAATAAATTGATAACAATTACCTTTAAAGAAATCATTCCATCTATACGTGGTGGTGGACGTCCTCCATTGCTGTTTCCACTCATTCTGCTGCTGCGACTAGTCATACAAATTTAACACCAAAATTAGTTTGGAAATCTTCTTCAGATGTATTCTCCTACTAATAAAACCGTGAACACTATATATATTAAATATGGCGGATGTGCGACAGTTGTAGAGAAAAAAAAAAATTAACTACGCGACGAACTGCCCTATAACTCCGCGAAAACACGTCCACACGGCAAGAAAATCAATACAAATGAACGAATTCTCTTCTCTCTCGGCTAGGGATATAAGTCGATTTATGATCAACAACGGTAGGGCTGTATAGTCCATAACAGAGGTAACTAGTTCATTTAATGGATGCAGTAAATAAATGCAATGAACGAGGCTAATTTAACGCGCGTTTAAATTAGCCTCTTAAATCGACTCGATGTGTAGATGAACTGGATTTGTCATCTGTTATTTGTTTACGTATACAACCACATTTCACTGCTGTCATAATCTAAGAGGCAAATGATTAATCATTATTTTCATAACTTTGTTAAACGGCATATACATTACCGGGTTAACCTACTTTATGAGGATTTATTTGACATATGTGCAAAGGAATTGACAATTGAAACCCACTGGGTTAACGAAATCCGATTAAATGTAAACGTACTATTAGTATATGCTTTTTTATATTTTACTGGATTTCGTTAACCCAATGGATTTCAATTGTCAATTCTTTTAAATATATGCCAAATACATCCTCATAAAGTACGTTTACATTATATCAGATTTAGTTAACCCAGTGGATTTAAATTTTGAATTCCTTTAAATATATGCCAAATAAATCCTCATAAAGTTGTTGTTGTAGCAACATAATACATGCGGTGGATTATTCATTGACTGGTTCTGCTTCCTCTATCTCCAAATTCAAGAATGTTGCGTCCATAGTGAATTCGGCGATAGAAGAGTCGGCCTTGCTGGGAATTGAAGAGGTGCAACGTGTCGTGTGGTCCTGGTCCACATGCAGGACGTGTTATAGGTATCGAGTCGTCAATTCTTGCCCAATATGAATTGTGGCGGTTACACCATCCTGATCTAAGACTACTCGTGTTGAGCTAAGACTATACGTGTTTGTCTTGGCAGCTACTTCTCCTCTGCTGCCATGGACTTTGGTAAAGACGTATAAGATGATAGGTCTTTCCATCCAAACAACTCAAAATAATGCACTCCGAATTGCAACCGACTGTGTCCAGATGACGAGCGTCGAGTCGAGCAACATAATGTGTTGTTGACTAGACAGTTCCTGCTGGCATGCTATCTGCCGTGTCATCCTAATCGCCTGGATTTTAGGCGCTATCGTGATGGGATTCAAGACGTAATTGTACCGGAAGTCAACAGAATGTCGATAGCGAAAGTGATGAAATTTGTGCATCAACTGGCGGTCTCTGAAGTCATAAATGGCTACAGATGCAATAAAGTCCTACAACAACATCCTCCTGAAATTTTGGAGAGTGAGAGGCTTCATCCAAGGCAAACCCGTTCAATTCTGGCAAAACTAAGGTCTGGATACAGCAATGTTCTCAACTCGTATCGCACAGGTAAACTTCCTGCCAGCAAGTCGATCACGACACACACCATCTACAAGTCTATTGCCTATAGACTTATGACCAAAGCCAATAGAGGGGGCACAGTTTCTCCGGCTACCCTCTTCAAATCCGATTTCCTAAAAATTAAAATATTTTCCTTTTCCTTCTTCGGTTTTTTCTATCCAACCAACCTATTACAACCAACCAACAATAGTAATTGGTATGAATTTGATGTATTGCCCTGACTCTATTGCTTTTGTTTATTATCTGACATTTGTGCCTGTGCCAAATCATTTGATGACTTTTTAATCAGACCAAGATCTATTAATAAGGTCACCAAGATAGCAATCGATATCGGAAATCAGCTGTTTTTTCTCAAGTCTGTTGTCAAAAATTTCGACTTTGTTTACGTTTTCATAATGGAAGTCAATTCACAATAATGCATTTTGACAGCAAACTTGAGAGGTATCGATAATCCGCTGGTATCCCTTGGTGACCTTATTTATAGACCATGAATCAGACCTTTCTCACCCTATTTCGATTAATCATCGATAACAACACCGACATAACTTTCGACTTTCATATCCCTATTTCCTATCTGCGTGGCTATTGAAATTGTGCTGCTGGTGGATAAATTTTTTTGAATTGTGTTCATTCAGTACTACTACTTTTTTTTACAATAAATCCCATCCGGATTAAGTGCTACACTTCAATTTTACATTCATAATTATTCGTGCGGTGACAGATTTACATACACCTTGTGTAAAAGTTGAACAGTGAAAGTAACAGCAAATAACCCCGTAGCCGAAAACGAAATTCCTTTGTCGTCGTCGGTCAGTTCAGTTCTTTTTCAGTCAGCCAGCCAAGACAAGTCAGTGAAAAACGTGATTTTCGCGTAAACGAGACGAGAGAAGAAAAAGGAATAGAAAGCGTTGAAGAAGAAATTCGTATTAAAAGGGGCCGCTTTTTGGAACGACGACGGTGCGTGGCGTGTGTTATTTTTCGCAAGTTGTTACAACATTAACTTAAAAAAAAAAATAGATTACAAGCGCCCCATTGAAGGTTATATTTTTCTGTCATTTGGATTGGAATTCTCACGGCAAGTGAGCGAGCGAACGGACAAACCGGAGTAGTGGTGTTGTTGTGTTGTGTGAGAGAACGAACCATACAACGTGTTGTTGTTACGTGTGCATGTTTGAGTGCGCCGCGTAGAGAAGTTAACCGGAGTGAACCGCCTCAGAAAAAAACTATTTCTGAAAGTTTTCTTTAAAAAAATAATAGAACAACAAAAAGAGGGAACGAAAATAAATATTCAAACAAAATGGCTCAAGAAAACTCCGATATGTCCACAAAATTCTCCACACTAAATGTAAATGCTGCGGAATTTGTACCCAGTTTTGGTAGTTTCAGTGCGGCCGTTGTCAGTTCCATGAATAATGACAATAGTGCGCCGGCTGCCGCTACCACTGCTGCTGCTGCTCCCATGGATACAACCAGCGTGCCCGCGTCTACCAGCGGCACTCCTGCCACCACACCTAATTCGGATGCATCCGCTTCGGGTTCCCTGAGTGCACTTAATCAGGCGGCCGGTGATGTTGCACCAGCGGAATCGCCCATGCAAACGTCACCCGTAAAGGTTGCTGCTGCTGCACCTGTGGAAAATATCAATACAGCCGATAAAATTGCAGCCAATAATGGTAAGAATGCTTCGATGTAATTAGAGCTCCAAAAGTGGTGGGGGGAGGTAGGGGAAAGGATTGTGATGGTCTATGGGGGGTAATTACTAGAATCCAGTACTTTTGCAGTAGGTGCAAAAAACATGACGTCATGAACAACCAGTCATTCAGTTGTAGTAATCTGTTGTCACAGATGTTGCAGGTCTTCGTCGTTGTCGTCTTCTTTTTTATAACATACCGATGTTGTTGTTATTGTTGTTGAGTTACTTTTTGTCACCGCCACTTGGTGGTTTGGTTGGTTGTCAGCCAGCCTGGTCATTGGCCACTAGTTGTATGTCATTAATTTATTGGCCTAACTTTCAGTTGTGGCCACCACCACAACTACTTCTCTTTTAGAGGTTTGCACCTTTTTTTCATTCATTCAATACTTTCTTCTGTTCAATATAACCTCAAAATCTATATGCAGGCAGGGTGGTATTTAATAATTAAATTGTGGTGACTTTGCTTTCGGCCTTTTATTGTAAAATGTGTTTGTCCCTAATTTTTTTTTTTATAAAAAATTAATATTGTAATATTTGGAGCTGTCCTCCTCCATGTGTTTACTCCAAACATATTTTTTCGGTTTCCATTCTTCTTTGCCAAATTCCATTCCATTCACAGTAATCTCATTTCTCTTTTTGTTTGTTTCTCTTACTTTGTCTTGAAGTGTGAAGGGGGGACTCATTTTGTTTGTGTGCGGGGTCGTTCCGATTTTGCTTTGAATTTGTGCTATTGTTGTATTTGTTGACACGTTAACTTTTTTTTTTTGGTTATTATTGAATATTTTTCTTGTTTTTGTTGGTTTAATTCAATAATTGAATTTGTTAAATTAACTCGTTAATTTTATATTTTTGGAAAATATGTTGAAAATTAGATACAATTTGGGATAACTCTCAAAAAAATGAAATGAAAATTAGTTCAAAATCTGGTTGTAAAATATGCCCTTCGTCTCTTTGGAAAGAAAAGGGAGTGGATTTTGTAAAATTGAAAATATATATCATATGGGATCATATGGTTGGATTAATACTACGAATCCAACCATATCCCATATGATTTATATAAGGTATACTACGATCTGTTTCAATTTCACCTGTTGGAATATATCAGTGGAGCTACTAGATCAACAGGCCTATCAAGCAGGATTATTCACATGGATGAAGTTGTGGAAGAAATTCAAAAATATGGTGTGAATACAATGCTCGGTGATCACCCGTCTACGGTAGCAGCAGAAGAGCAGCAGCTACATCGACAAACCAGAGTATGATTGTCCGATTATGGCGTCAGGACCAAAAATTGATGACATTTGCGAGAGGCTGAACCACTATCTCGTGGATATTGCAGACTTTTTCCGGCCGAGGAATATGGAAATATCCGCCACTAAATCAACGACCACACTGATGAGAGATGCGGCAAGGTTCTAGGGGTCACATTCGATTCCACATTGCCTATCTCAATGGCAGACAGCAGGCATATGTGGATTTCAGAGTACGGATATCTAAATACCGCAAGCTTAAAATGGGCGTCCCGCAGGAAGGAGTACTATCTCCACTGCTATTTAATCTTTATCTTACGTCGCTTCCTGTGTCACCCCCCGATGTTAAAATTGAATATTACGCAGATGACTGCGTCGCGTCCTCTGGAGTCGACATAGATGACGTAAGCGCAAAAATCAGGATTAATGCAGGAAAGAAAATTAATTATATCACCATCCAAATCTACTGCGACGTTATTTATTTCCTGGACACGTAAGCTTAAGACAAAGCTGAATATATCATAGTCGTCGATGACCGAAGAATTCCGACAGTCCAACTTCCCAAAATACTGGAAGTAGTTTTTGATAACCTGCTCAACTTCACCAAGCACGCCGCCTATGTCAAAGGGAAAGTCCTCAGCAAAAATAAAGTCCTGAAAGCTCTGACAGGTATCTCCTGGGGAAAGGATAAAGAGACGCTCATCATGACATACAAAGCCATTAGTCGCTCTGTACTGAGCTATGCCGCCCCGCGTTTGCACTTCATTCCTAAGCGACACCCAATGGCGCAACACCTTCACGACAGAGGGGTCTACGATCCGAAACGACCCGAGTCTTACTCGGCCAACGTCTGTCACCTCAGACCGTTGTGTAAATGCAATAGGGCTGCTACAACAACAACCACCTTCAAACGATCCAAAACAGTGCTTTAAGAATTGCTACCGGATATGTCAAGATGTCGAGCGTGGATCATCTTCATGAGGAGACAAGGATACTGTCAGTACAGCCCGTCATCTGCCAAGTCACCCCAACCATCACATTGTGGTGCAGGATCCTCCTCCACGACACATCCGGAAGGATATCAGACACTTCCGCCCAGACATCCAAGTCGTCATACCATCCGACCTCAACAGATCGTCAATAGCTGTAGGTCTGAAACAGCTGGATATTGCCTAAACAAAGTCCTTAACGAACATCCCCCAGCAATCCGTGACTCTGAAAAGCGCCTCCCCAGATCCACGAGAACAACTCTAGCTCAACATAGATCTGTTTGGAGTTCCAGCGAATTATTTATAGCACATGCGATCAGTGCCCAAACAATCAGAGCGCTCCTCATGACACAAATCACATATAAGTTCAAATAAGTTCACGAAATTATTGTCCTTGTACCATTTTCGATGCCCTTTCCCAAAATGCATACCGAAAAGTTGTAACCCTCGCCTTTTTCCTACAGTGGGGCCTAAACTATCTATATAGAATTAAAATCACGCCACTTTGGTCTAATTTGACAATGTTAATGATAATTGATTTTATTTTTTTCCAATTTTCAGAAAATGATCCTGCCGATAGCTGGGACGTTGAAGATGAACCTGTCATTACACCCGACGACGAAGAAGTTGAAGATATCGAAGAAGTCGAAGGTGATGCCACACCAAAGGTGTCAAAGAAAAAGATACCCAAAGTAGAAGACACAAAGAGCAAAAAGGAACATGTGAATGTCGTATTCATTGGTCACGTTGGTAAGTGAAAATGACGAACGCAGCAGTAAAATATTTCATTTTCCAAACCTCTAACTTATTTTTCTATACGCAGATGCTGGTAAATCAACAATTGGTGGTCAAATTATGTCCCTTACCGGTATGGTCGACAAACGTACTCTGGAAAAATACGAACGTGAAGCACGTGAAAAATCTCGTGAAAGTTGGTATCTCTCATGGGCCTTGGATACAAATCAAGAGGAACGTGACAAGGGTAAAACTGTTGAGGTCGGTCGTGCCTATTTCGAAACGGAACGTAAACATTTCACAATTTTGGATGCACCCGGTCACAAAAGTTTCGTACCCAATATGATTGGTGGTGCGGCACAGGCTGATTTAGCCGTGTTGGTAATCTCAGCGCGAAAAGGTGAATTCGAAACTGGTTTTGATCGTGGCGGTCAGACTCGCGAACATGCTATGTTGGCCAAAACCGCCGGCGTCAAACATCTGGTCGTGCTCGTCAATAAAATGGACGATCCCACAGTCAATTGGGATGAGGCACGTTACAACGAATGCAAAGACAAAATCCTACCATACCTCAAAAAATTAGGTTTTAATCCAGCTAAAGATCTAACCTTTATGCCATGTTCAGGTTTAAGCGGAGCCGGTTTACGTGATGTCATACCCGATTCAATTTGTCCATGGTACAATGGACCAGCATTTATACCATTTATTGATCAGTTGCCTTCATTAAATCGTAAAGCCGATGGTCCCTTCATAATGCCCATTGTTGATAAGTACAAGGATATGGGTACGGTCGTAATGGGCAAGGTTGAGTCGGGTACTGCGCGAAAAGGACAAAATTTGTTGGTGATGCCTAATAGGGTAAGTTGTTATAATGAGTGTTTTTCTTTATAAAGAGTCGAATAATGATTTTTTGTTTTATTCTTAGACACAAGTTGCCGTTGATCAACTGTGGTCCGACGATGATGAAGTCACATCTGTGGGTCCTGGCGAAAATGTTAAAATCAAGCTGAAGGTGAGGAGTGCTTGTGGTTTTAAATTTTTTGAAATTATCTAATGTTTTATTTTTGTTAATTTGCCTTCAGGGTATTGAAGAAGAAGATGTCTCACCTGGTTTTGTTTTGTGCGATGCCTCTAATCCTATTAAAACTGGCAAAATCTTTGATGCTCAAGTTGTTATTTTGGAGCATAAATCAATTATCTGTGCTGGTTATTCGGCCGTTATGCACATACATTGTGCAGCTGAAGAAGTTACCGTTAAAGTAAGTGTGATAAAATGATACAAAAAATTAATCAAGGACCAGCTATAGGTAGAGATTTTTTAAAAATATATTTTAGATGATAGCCATAGGCCCAAATTTTTATACCCTTCACCACACTGTGGTACAGGGTATTATGTCTTTGTGCATATGATTGTCACAGGCAAAAGAAAACGAGATAGACACATGATTCCTTTTGAGAATATGCATAGAATCATTTTTTTAATTCGATTTATGCATGTCCGTCCGTCCGTCTGTCCATGTTAAATTGTATGCAAAGTACAGGTCAAATTTATAAACCGATTTGGTACAAAATTTTGCACTACGTACTGAAGTTACTATAACGTGTGGCAAGTTTTGTTGAAATCGGTTTAGATTTAGATATAGCTTCTATATATAGTTTCGTCGGATTTTAAGTAAAAGGTGCAACAAAGACCAAAGTTAGGTCGTTTGCTACAAAATTTTACAAAATGTACTGACCGTGAGGAATGTTTTGAAGTCGGTTCATATTAGGATATAGCTCCTATATATATTTTCTCCCGATTTTAAGTACATGATGCACCAATAACTCAAATGTGGCCGATATGCACAAAATATACTGAAATTAGTATAACTTATCTTATATATATATGCTTTAAATTGATTTCCATAATTTTGTCCCATTGTAAGAAGCAACCCTATATCTGACCAAATGAAAAATTTAGTATATTTTACTGGTCCTTCAAAAATACGGCAAAAATTCACCACTTTGTGTATATTCAACAGATGAATCATAACCATCTGTTGAATATAACCAAAGAGGTGAAGGGTATCATATATGTTTTAAGGATTTATTAGTGTGGGGATTAAAAAAAATATTTTTAAGAATCTACTAAGGCTTGGATTTTTTAAGAATATTTTTAAGGACCTACTAAGGGGTGGACAAGTTTCGATTAAATCGGTTTGGATTTCGATATAGCTTATATATGCTTTAAATTGATTTCCATAATTTTATCCCATTGTAAGAAGCAACCCTATATCTGTCCAAATGAAAAATTTAGTATGATTTAATGGTCCTTCAAAAATTCGGCAAAAATTCACCACTTTGGGTATATTCAACAGATGAATCCTAACCATCTGTTGAATATAACCAAAGTGGTGAAGGGTATCATATATGTTTTAAGGATTTATTAGTGTGGGGATTAAAAAAAATATTTTTAAGAATCTACTAAGGCTTGGATTTTTTAAGAATATTTTTAAGGACCTACTAAGGAGTGGATTAAAAAAAATATTTTTTAATATTTATTTTTTTTTTTACTTTTCCAGGCCCTCATTTGCTTGGTTGACAAAAAGACCGGCGAAAAATCAAAATCACGTCCAAGATTCGTTAAACAAGATCAGGTGGCAATTATGCGAATTGAATGTTCCGGTATGATTTGTTTAGAACAATTTAAACTATTCCCACAGATGGGAAGATTTACTCTGAGAGATGAAAGTAAGTATTGCTAGCATTTGAAAACAGAAATCAAAACTAATTTAATTTCCTTTTTATTTTACAGACAAAACAATCGCTATCGGCAAAGTGTTGAAGGTGATCGAGTAAATTGAGCCAAGCTTGATTTTTCTTTTTTGTAATTTTAATTTTCTTGAGTGCTTCAAGCCCCGCCTTTTTTAAAAAGAAAAACAAAATATTAAATTTATAAAAAATCAACAACAACATATTAACATCTAATTTTTAATCTGGCTTTTTAAGCCCGGCCGTCGTCGACAACTAGGAAAACAAACAATTGAATAAATAACGTTATGAAAATAAATTCAAAAAATTGCAAACTACCAACCTATCTTTAAAGAAAAAAATAAACCACAACAACAACAAAAATGCAAAATTAAGTAAAACATGAACTTTAAAAAAAGAGAGAAAAAATAAAACAAATAAAGGAAATAAATAAAAAACGAAACAAACGAATAACAAGGATCTTTAATAAATTACTGATAAAATTATATATATATAACAAAAACAAAATCGTCGTATATAAAATATATATTATATTATTACAATTATTAAATATGAGAAAGAAAAGAAAAAAAAACAAATACCAACAACAAAGAAAAAAGCGAACCAGAATTATATATGATTATTAATAATGATTATGTTTTTCCTTTATTTACATATTTTTTAATTCATTTTCACTGTTAAGCTATACAACAAACAACAACAACAAATAATTGATAAAACAAAGCGAGTGGATGAAGAGAAATCATTTAAATAGCATTTATTATTATTGTTTTTTTCTTCAGAGATCATTTAGTTAGAGATGCAAAATAAAAAAGATCACATCGTTAGGATTTGTCACGGAATGTTTCTACTTGATGATTATGCAAATATAACATTTAGATTCAATATTTTTTGGACTTTATTTTTACAAATAAAAATTCTGAGCATTTCTTAAATAATAGCAAAAATGAGAGTTTCAAATCAACCACCTTTAATTTGTTTTATTAAATATTTTTTAGGGATTTAAATTTTTTTCAAAGAATCTCCCAAGGCGTGAATTTTTTAAAAATATTTTTTTAAAGATCTCTAAAGGCATGGATTTTTTAAAGATCGCCTAAGGTTTGGATTTTTAAAAAATAATTCTTTAAAGATCGGGTAGACTTTTTAAAGATCGCCTAAGGTGTGGATTTTTAAAAAATAACTCTTTAAAGATCGTGTGGACTTTTTAAAAATAATTTTTTAAAGATTGCCTAAGGTGTGGATTTTTCTAATTTTTTTTCTAACCACACTGTGGTACAGGGTATTATGTCTTTGTGCATATGTTTGTAACAGGCAAAGGGAAACGAGATAGGCACATGGTTCCTTTTGAGAATATGCAAAGAATCTTTTTCTGAGTCGATTTATGCATGTCCGTCCGTCCGTCTGTAGATGTTAAATTGTAAACAAAGTACAGGTCGCATTTATGATCCGATTTGGATGAAATTTGGCACAGGTCTCTTATTTTGGCCCAAGGACGAACCCTACTGAAATTGGAGAAAATCGGTTCAGGTTTATATATAGCTCCCATATATATTTTCGTCCGATTTAAGGTACGAAATTTGTCGATTTGCACGAAATTTTGCACAGTGTACTGAATTAAGTCTAGAAAGATGTGTGTTGAATTTCGTGAAAATTGGTTTAGATTTATATATAGCTCCCATATAGATTTTCGTCCGATTTCATGTAATTGGAGCACCAAAGTCGCAATATATCCCTCGATTTGCACGAAATGTTGCACAACGTATCAAATTGAAAGCTTTGATGACGTTATGGCGTTTTGTTGAAATTGGCGCAGATGTAACCATAGCCTTTATATGTATTTCGAAGGGGTGTCCGATTGAAATTAAATTTTTAACAGTGCGACGTACCGAATAGTGTGCATCAATTTAGCTATAAATATTTTTTTCATAAATTTGTTCCATGGTACGCAGACGACTCTAAATCTGCACGAATGAAATTGCATTTATTATAGGTTGCAGATTTGTATGTTCCTTGGAGGGAACATTGACATGCAATTGTATGGATACATATTTACAATATACCCAAAGTGGCGAAGGGTATCATATAGTCTTTTCTTACTGGTTTTAAAGATTGCCCAAGGCGTGGATTTTTTTTTAAAATAAAGATCGCCATGAGACTCCATATATGCTTCTTTTATGATTTCTCTTCCCTCTCACAAGTTACTTTTTCAAAACAAAATTTTAGAAAATTAATAAAATACGGTTTTCTCAAATAGATCGGCTGTTCTTTTTTTTTTGTTTCTAGTTTTGTAATTATTGTGTGAAAAAATAAAAATTGTTTATTATCAACTCAAACAAATGCATTAGCAAGGGAAATAACACTAAAATTACACCCCACATACTTCACACTAACACTCATATATACACACACACACCTTACATACCGGAAATGAAGGAAACAAAAACATAAACAACAACTATAGTCACTAAATTAACAGTTAAGCAATTTGCAAAGAAAAACAAAAGGCCTACAGTCAGAGTCCGTAAGTCACCGTTTTGTATACATCTTTATAATTTTTCAATATTTATTTTAAATAAATTTGGTATATGCAACATGCATATAGCGAATCTATATAGTGCTTACATTATTGTTAAATTTATTGAATATTTTAAAAATTTGTTTTCAAGGACGAGATATAGGCGTTGATTTTTTAAAAAATATTTTTTAAGGATCCACCAAGGCGTGGAATTATAAAATAATATTTTTTAATGATCCTTAAAATTTCAATTTTATATTCTTATCCTCTCTAAAATTCTTCTTCCCGAAATCCTTTCCTTTCGAAAATGCATTTATTTATTTTTGCATTTTGTTTCAAATAAAAACAAAAATAATGTATTTATCTACAGCTTTAAAAAAAGTTAAAATCGTTTCTTTCGAAACGGTACAACACACACAACATACAAATATCCCATTAACAACTGATGTATGTATGTACTATATATATATACATATTCATTACAAGAAAAAACTCAGAACCAGTACGTAAATTGCACACCCATATAAATGAGAAAAAAAAAACAAAAACAAATAATTGGTTAATTAAATTAACTTTAAATACATAGAAAAAAACAACAAATCTATATTCATTAAAAACCCAAATCACAAGTCATATTTCAATACTACTCCCCTTATTTGTAGTAGCAAAACAAATCTCAACATTTTTTAACATTTTCTTTTTTCTTTTGGGTTTTATTGAAAAACAGTTTGTAAACGAATTCCTAGAGTCTTTTTTCGATTTATTTTTCAAATTTTTTTTTTTAAACAAACTCTCTTTGTAACTCTAAAATAACAACAACAACAACAGCATTTTACATGACCGCCCGTCGTTTCGTTTTGTTTATGTAATGAATGATGATGACGTTAATAAAACAAAAACAAAAAGCGATTATTTATACACTGAAAAAATATAAAAAAAAATAATAAGAAAAAGAAAAAAATTATATATAAAAATATGCCTAAAAAATAACGATAATAAAACAAGAACAACAACAACAAAACAAAGAAACCATTTTTTATTAATAATAAATAAAAATGAAGAAAATTATATTATGAAAATCGAAATGAGTGGATTTTGAAATTTATTTAAAAACCAGTGAGCGGAGCAGTATAGTCGGACAGGGCCGACCATATGATACCCTACACAACTACCACGGAACTCTAACATTCCGCGGATGTTTTTTCCGAGACTGGTCAATATTTCGTGATATTTGACCCTCTTGTCCGATTCCTTACACAGACATTTTTCCGAATATGACTAATATTCAGTACAGCCCTTGTAATTACTTGTCTAGATTGTCTTCACGGTGGGTTGTGTTGTGATGTTCGGCTTTCAATTGTGCCCTATTGATCGACTCGAAAAAGTTTGACCCGCTAAATATTGACCGATCTTTATCAACACAGGCATGCTTATTCTTTGGCCCGATCCCATGTTTGGGCCACAGTTGCGGCCTCTGGAGCGACCAGAAAATCAGACAAAAATAAAGTTTTTGGTCAATTTCATTCCCTAAATATTAACCGATCTTTACCAAAAACAATAGGGATCTTCATTGGCCAGACCCGTCCTACATGCAAAATTTCGTGAAGATTGATCCATAACTATGGCCTGTATCGTGTTTACAAATTATAATGGACAGATGGACGGACACACATTTCTAGATCGACTCAGCTCTAGGACCAATATTTCGCGGCGTTACAAACTCTTTGGGCTGCACAAAGCTATAATACCCTGAAGACATAGTTGTGTTAGGTATAAAAAGGAAAATAATTACTAATTTAGAATAATTTTTTAAGGGCCGTGGATTTCTAAAAATAATTTTTTCAAGGAGCTACAAAGGCGTGGATTTTTTAAAATATATTTTTTTAAGGACCGTGGATTTATTAACGAATATTTTTTTTAACCTTGTTTAAGGTGCGGATTTATTAAAAAAATATTTTTTTAAGGCTTCCAACAATGCGTCGATTTACTTAGCTGGCTTTTGACAGAACTTTCGTTCCATAAGCCGAGCTTAAAAAATATTTCCAGGCGCGTCGGTCTTTTGCGCAGTTTTTCCAATTTGAAAGACCATGTTCGGCAATCTTCCACTTGATCTTTCCATCTTATTCGTGTTCTTCCCCTTCTGCGTGAACCATCAGCTGGTTTACTCTTATATGCCTTTTGGGCTGGGGCATCTTCATCCATTCTCACAACATGATCTAGCCAACGTAGTCGTTGCAGCTCAATACATCTAAAAATGCCGATGTCCGAGAATAGCTGGTACCGCTCATGGTTCATTCGACGGCGATATTCACCGTCGACGCAGATCGGCCCGTAGATCTTTCGGAGAATTTTTCTTTCAAACAGCCCAAGCACTGCTTCATCTGCTTGCGCAAGCGTCTTGTAAAGTGTGAGTTTGGTCTGGGTGGAGGTGGCCTTGTTTCTAAACTGCTTACTTAGACCATAGTAGCATCTGTTGGCCACCACTATCCTTCTCCGAATTTCAAGACTGATGTCATTAGTTTTAATTATGGCGGTACCAAGGTATATAAAATCTTTGACTACCTCGAAGCTGTAGTTCTCAAGTTCCACAGTTGGTCCGAGTCTACTGGACGTCGTTGCTCGTTGATACCATCAGCTAGGTCTTCTCGCCGTATACTGTCAGACCCACTTTGGCAGATTCCTCAATTTGTTCAAAGTTGGCTGTTACCACTCTCAATGTTTGACCCATTATGTCGATGTCATCGGCGTAGGCGAGTAACATATGTTATTTGGTGTACAGAGTGCCATTTCTGTTCACCTTTGCGTCTCGTATGACCTTTTCCAGCAGGATGTTAAAAAGGTCACACGACAAACTGTCACCTTGTCTGAATCCTCGTTCGGTTTTCAAGGGCTCCGAGAGGTAGTTTCCGACTTTAACTGCTGATCTTGTGCCACTTAAAGTTATCTTGCATAGCCGTATTAATTTTGCAGGAATGCCGAACGCAGACATGGCTTTAAATACCTCTGAACGGATAGGGCTGTCGAATGCGGCTTTATAGTCGAAGAATAGGTGGTATGTGTCAATGTGTTTTTCATGCGCCAGGATTTGGCGCAGAGTGAAAATCTGGTCAATGGTGGATTTGTCAGGTCTGAAGCCGCATTGGTATGGTCCAATAATGTCATTGACGATTATCTTTAGTCGTTCACACAGCACGCTGGATAGCACTTTATATGCGATGGGAAGGACACTTATTCCTCTATAGTTGGCACATATCGTCTTGTCTCATTTTTTTTGTACACGGGACACAGGATGCTGAGGTTCCAATCATTGGAATTTCAGCATTCCAATTCCTCTAGCCAAATTGTACTAATCAGCTAGCGCATGCTCCTGAACAGCATCTGACCACCAGTCATGAATAGTTCGGCTGGTAACCCATCGGCTCCTGCTGCTCTATTGTTCTTCAGCCAATTAATTGCTATTCTGACCTCATCTTGGCTAGGTGGTATACACTCTATACCATCATCTCTTATTGGTTCTGGGGTATCCCCTTCGCCGCTACTATTTGATATCAGAAGCTTTTTAAAATGCTCCTTCCAGATCCTCAACACGCTGCCTGTATCTGTCACCAGGTTTCCATCTTCATCTCTACAGGAGGATGTGTCTGCACCAAAACCTTCGGTTTGGTGTTTTACTAGTTGGTAAAATTTTCGGACTTAATTCTGACTCCTGTACATCTCGATTTGCTCACGCTAACGTGTTTGTTGTCCTTTTTTCTTTTTTTCTGAAAACACGTTTCTCCTCTCTCCTTTTCTCCCAATAATTCTTCCTAACATTACGTGCTGCTACTGTCTGCAGGGTTGCCCCGTTTTTCACATCAGTAGCATTACGACACCCCTGATCGTACCATGGGTTTCTTGCTGGTGGTTTTTGGTACCAGGGGTTGCTTTTGTTGCAGTTTGTAGGGAGTGGGCAATTCTCTGCCACTTTCCTTCTATATTATTATCGGGACAAGGGGTGCTTTTGTCAAGCTGTTGGGTAAGTTGAGCGGAGTAGGCTTCTGCTATCTGTTGTGTTTGCAGCTTTTCGACGTCGAGTTTCCGTGTTACATTAGATCGCACCTTTGCTACTACATTAATATTGGTGCGAACCTTGGCTGCCACAAGGAAGGGGTCAGGATCGATATTCGCCCTTCGGATCGATTGAACGTCTAATACACTGGATGAATGCCTTCCGTCTATCACACAACATGGTCAATTTGATTTCTCGTTGCTTGATCAGGAGAAATCAAGGTGACCTTGTGTATATCGAGATGCTTGAATCTGGTGCTGCTAACTACCATGTTTTTTGCTACCACGAAGTCAAACGACGTTGTCGGATGTTTCTTCATGGAGGCTGAATTTTCTGACGGTGGGGCCAAAAATATTTTCCCTTCCAATTTTTGCATTAAAATTTCCTGGCAGAATTTCAATGTCATGGCCAGGACAGCGGTCATATGCTATTTCTAGGCGCTCGTAAAACTGTCACCTTGTCTGAATTCTCAGTTCGGTATTGAAGGGCTTCGATAGGTCCTTTCCGACTTTAACTGCTGACCTTGTTCCACTTAAAGTTATCCTGCATAGCCGTATTAATTTTGCAAGAATGCCGAACGTAGACATGGCTTTAAACCCTCTGAATGGATAGGGCTGTCAAATGCGGCTTTATAGTCGACGAATAGGTGGTATGTGTCAATGTTTTTTTCTGGGGGTCTTTTCCAGGATTTGGGGCATAGTGAAAGTCTGGTGCTGCTAACTACCATGATTTTGCTGCCGCGAAGTCAATCAACCTCATGCCGTTGTCGGATGTTTCTTCATGGAGGCTGAATTTTCTGACGGTGGGGCCAAAAATATTTTCCCTTCCGATTTTTAGATTAAAATCTCCTAGCAGAATTTTAATGTCATGGCTCATATACTGTTTCTAGGCGCTCGTAAAATATGTCGTTGGTCTGCACATCTTTGTCTTCGGTCGAAGCATGGGAGCAAATAAGACTGATGTAGAAGAACTTCGTTTTTATGCGAATTATAGCAAATCGCTCATCTACTGGAGTGAATTTGGAGACGAGGTCTTTTATTCTCCTGTTGACCATAAATCCGCAGCCAAATGCATGTCTCGTTTCATGGCAGCTATAATACAGTGCGTAATCATCTGATTTACTTACGCCAGTCCCTTTCCATCGCATTTCCCGTAAGGCAATAATATCGGCTTTGTACTTCTTGAATATATCCGCCAAAGCGAGAACTGCGCATGTCCTGTACAACGTGCGCACATTCCAAGTGCTGACTCGCAGATCGTGGTCCTTTATACGTTTGCGGGGGTCGTCAACATTAGGGGGGTTTGGTTTTCTTTTTCTTAGCTTTTTCATAGTAAGTTGAGGTTTCCGAGAGTGGGCAACTAACCAGACGCCTTAACCAATTTTTTATAGTTCTTATGGGTGAACTCGCGGCACATATTAGCTTACTATTTCAAAGGGTGATGAAAATAGCTACCCCATGTGACACCGCGGGGAGGTCAGTGTCCACAATTGAGCTGAAAGAGGACCCAGATAAAGCTGGCCATGTTAAAGTCGATCAGAGCCGTTGCTTGGTATCTATTCTTTATTAAAGAATATTTTTTCAGGGGTTCCAACAATGCGTGGATTTAAAAAAAATCTAGTTTTTTTTAACTTTTGTGTTTATATTTTTATAAAATCTATATTTTCCTTAATAGCTTAATAAATAATACATAAATACAAATTCGTAACAAAAATTATAACCAACATTTTTTTATATATATTTGTACAAAAAAAATATTATTTTCTGGACAATAACGGAGTTATGGGTCGATTTTTACGTTCAATTTCCTGTGAACGTTCCGCCTCCCGCTCACCATATAAATCCAAGTGTCTTCCATGGTACCACACCAAGACATCAAAGAATACACCAATGGCTGTGAAACCTGAAAGGAGAAAAAGTGACCTTCAATTTCAGAACTCGGAATCGGAATTTCCATCTCAAGACTTACAACACGCCACCGCATTAATGTTCACCCGGAAAGCATCCTGATCATATAGCTGACAATTGCCATTACCCGTACACGTCTTGGTCCATTTCAAACATGTCGAATCAATGATACGACCAAATATAATTGGTCCCGGTATCAGACCAAATAGACTGACCATCATTAGCATTAGGCCTTGTGCGAATGATTTATCTTCGGTTGCAACGGCTCGATAATTTACCAAGATATTGCCAATACGTCCCGACGAGCCGAACCAATTGAGGATCATCGAAACAATGGTGAAAATCCAAAAGGCTTTGGTACAACCTTTCAGACAGACACCGGGTTTTAAAATCCCAGCCGTTAAAGCATCCAAGGAACGTCGGGATCTGCTAAGGATGTCATCGTCGTTGCGGGAATTTGGTGTTGTTGTAAAATCATCAAAATATGTTGTCATATCTGGCATGGATTTTGTTGTTGGCCTCATGGTAGTGGTGGTGAGTAGAGAACTTGTTACAAGAGGCTGCAATAAATCGGAATTTATGGCGGAGGTTGGAAGTAAGGAAGTTGGTGTTGTTGTTGTGGTGACTGTGGGTATGATTGTTGTTGTTGTAGAATTATAACCATATGCCAGACAGGAACAATTTGAGTAATACTAAAAAAATGGGAGGTTAGTAGGAATCTCTTTAGAATAAAAAAAAATGAAGACCCACCTTGAGATCCGAATTCCACGATTGACACCCAGCATGACAGGGTGAGAAAAATGTCGTCTCTGTTTCCTCATGACAAATGGGTGAATAGGGTACATCTTCACAGCCACAATTTGCATTACACGAATTGGAAAGATTTAATCTGAAAACAATTCGATTTTATTTAAATCGAAATTTCATTGCCTTCATTTCCGAACTCACCTTCCATTTTGATCCAATACCACCGAATCACTGCAATACAAAAACATATAACCAATTTGTCCAAGTATAAAAACAAATCCGACGATAACATTCCACATTAGGACTTTACTGGGTGCGGGTTTCTTTTTGGTTAGTATTAAGCCTGACCCGACTAGGCCCACAACCATGCCGAGTATGGAAACGGGACCCACAACAATTGTGGCACTCTGGGAATTTCTATGAAATTGTACTTCCATATATTTCGTGAGGAATGTCATGATTGCTGAGGCACCCAAAATATAAAAGATGCCCGAAGTTATGTTGAAGATTAGCAGCTTGTTGCGCAGCAGGCGCATAAGGGCTCGAGGGAAATCTGGAAGGTGGTAAAAATATACAATAAAACAAAATTTTAAAATGTGTGGATTTTTTAAAAATATTTTTTCAAGGATCTACTCTAGACCATAGAATACCTCTGGGTTTATTATAGACCATATCTGTGTTTCTATAGGCGTTAGAAGACCTCTGGGTCTCTATGTTGATCTTCTATAAAATGTAAATATCCGTCAATCCTTCCCTTACCTTTCAATTGTGGAAAGTCAGGTTTATCCACCACAGGTGCATCCAATGTGGCATTCGACGAAAAGCTTCTGCCCAGCGGTAAACATTCATCCATTTTCAGCTCTTCATGTCTTAAAACATGCGGTACATGAGAATTACGCAAAACTGGAGCTTTCTTCGGTAATTCTTTGGGAAAGAGGCCAATCAAACCGGAAAATACAATCATTAGGGTGCCCAAAATCATCCAACCAAACCACCAGGCACCCAACCAACGAGGATCTTTATTATCGATCAGGGGTGTCTTTGCGGGATCAATGAACATATTAAGGGAAACATAACCTAAAAGGGAATTTTAAAATTTATTTCAAAATTTTTTTTTAGAAAACAAACTAATTTCGGATACATACCCAAAAAGAAACCCACAATGGGTCCAATCAGACGCAATGCAAATGCCACCGAGAGCATTAACGGGGTATTGGTTTTCTTGGTATTATCATCCAAATAGGATTGACCCAATGAATAGTAAAGGGTATTACCAATACCTAGCACGAATTGTGAGAGGAATATAAGAACCAATGGCAGTATCGATAGCAAGGATTCACACTCCTGAGGGGTTTTCAAAACCCCACATAATTGTTGGGAATTTTTTATGGTGGCGTTCTGAAAGAAAGAAATTGGAAAATTAAAGGATTTTGAATTGAATTTCGGGGAGAGATCTAGGGAGGTCTTTTATGGTCTATTGAAGACGAGGAGGTTTTCTGTGTGATATAGAAGACTCAGTAGTTTTCTATAATCTATTGAATACCCATAAGTCTCATAAAGTCCCTATAAAAACGAAGATATCTTCTAAGGCTTAAAGAAGATCCAGAATTCATCTGTAGTCTATAAAATACCCAGAGTTCTTTTTATATCCGATAGAAGACGAAGATGTCTTCCATTTTCTATAGAGGTCCAGAGGTCTCAAAGGGTTAAAAACAAAGAGGTCATCTATAGTCTAAATACGACTCCGAGTACTTCTATGCTAAATAAGAGGCCATATAAGACCTCCCGGTCTATTTGCCATGTAAGACTTCTCCAAGTCTACTATATACCTTAGAAGACCTTCGGGATGACCTCCGAGTCTTATAGAGGTCATATAAGACCGGTGGGTCTTCCATAGACCATATAAGACCACTGGGTATTCTATAGACAATAGAAGACCTTTGGGTCTTCTATAGACCATAAAAGACCTCTGGGTCTTCTGTAGACATTAGAAAACCTCCGGGTCTTCTATAGACTATAAAATACCTTTGTGTCTTCTATAGACCATTGAAGACCTCTGCGTCTTCTATTGACCATAGAAGACCTCTAGGTCTTCTACTGTCAATGGGAGACCTATGGGTTTTCTATTGACTATAAAAGACCACAGGGGTCTTCTATAGACCATAAAGACCTCTGGGCTTCAATAAATCATAAAATACATGTGGGTCTTCTATAGACGATAGAAGGCCTCTCGGTCTTCTATAGACCATAGATCCCCTTGAGTCCTCTTATGACCAAAGAAGCCCTCGGGATGTTCTATTGGCCAGCAATGACTTCTATAGATTATAGAAGACCTCTGGGTCTTCTATAGACCACAGAAGACTCCTGGGTCTTCTATAGACCTTAGAAAAGCTCTGGATCTATAGTCAGCAGAAGACCCGGAGGTCTTCTGCTGACTATAGAAGACCTCTGGGTCTCTTATTGACCATAGAAGACCTCTATTGGCAATAGAAGACCTCTGAGTGTTCTATTGACCACAGGAGCTATTTTTCTTCTGTATACCTCTCGGTTTTCTATAACCCATAGAAGTCCTCTGCGTCTTCCATTGGCCATCAAAGGCTTCTATATATTATAGAAGACCTCTGGGTCTTCAAGAATCTTCTGTCAGTTGAAGTCCTGTAAATTTTGTTTTGAAAAAAATATATATCGCATTCTGTTCACCTACAACCAATGACATGGTGCTACTCGTAGCATTATCACCACCCTCCCAATCATAATACTCTTTGGTGTACTGCAGAACATCATGACCGGCGCCATAGATGAAGTGAGGCAAGGCCAAAATATAACAGGATATACCACAAAAGACAATACCGCTTGCAATCCAACGTGGCCGATTTCTCTGGCCACCAATATACGAGAGAATCAAGGATAATAAAATTTGGGATATTTCATTGCCGCTGAGGATGATACCTGGTTGAAAAAAATAAAAAGAAGAAGAAAAAGGAATAAGTTAAAATCTCATATAAGCCATTATTCGATGTTCCGACCGCGAAAAAAGAAGGCGTCTTGTTCTACTCACCTGTTGTTTGACTGGGTATTTTAAACCGCTTTTCTATGGTCGTCAGCGTTACCACGAAATACATATAGGACATGGCTTGGATGGTACCCATTAGTCCATAGACGGCCATAAACATTTTGGAGGTGGCATATCGTTGCATCCACTCCGGATGCCATTTAGCCAAGCCGCAAAGATTTTGTTCATTATGTGATCGTATGGTAGCTGCTGAAGGCATATTTGAAGAAGGCAGAATGGGATTGGAAAGCAAGACGGCGAGACTGTTTCACGTCTAGATGAATCGAACTCCTTTAGAGGGCATGCATTAAATCTGAAAATAAAACATAAATAAAAAAATCATTACTATGGGGGTCAGTGGAAAAATAATCTTTTAAAAATCTACGCTTCTGGTAGATTCCGAAAAATATTTCTTTCGATTGACACAATATTCTTGAAGACCCAGAGGTATTTTATAATCTATAGAAGTTTTAGATGGTCAATAGAAGACCCAGAAGCCTTCTATGATCAATAGAAGACTAAGAGATCTATAGAAGAAATATAGATCTTCTGTGGTCAATAGTACACCCAGAGGTCTTCCATGGTCTAAAGAAGATCCGGAGGTCTTCCATGGTCTAAAGAAGATCCGGAGGTCTTCCATGGTCTAAAGAAGATCCGGAGGTCTTCCATGGTCTAAAGAAGATCCGGAGGTCTTCCATGGTCTATCGAAGATCCGGAGGTCTTCCACGCCTCTGTTAGACCCTGAAAAAATATTCTTTTAAAAATCCACGCCTCTGTTAGACCCTGAAAAAATATTCTTTTAAAAATCCACGCCTCTGTTAGACCCTGAAAAAATATTCTTTTAAAAATCCACGCCTCTGTTAGACCCTGAAAAAATATTCTTTTAAAAATCCACGCCTCTGTTAGACCCTGAAAAAATATTCTTTTAAAAATCCACGCCTCTGTTAGACCCTGAAAAAATATTCTTTTAAAAATCCACGCCTCTGTTAGACCCTGAAAAAATATTCTTTTAAAAATCCACGCCTCTGTTAGACCCTGAAAAAATATTCTTTTAAAAATCCACGCCTCTGTTAGACCCTGAAAAAATATTCTTTTAAAAATCCACGCCTCTGTTAGACCCTGAAAAAATATTCTTTTAAAAATCCACGCCTCTGTTAGACCCTGAAAAAATATTCTTTTAAAAATCCACGCCTCTGTTAGACCCTGAAAAAATATTCTTTTAAAAATCCACGCCTCTGTTAGACCCTGAAAAAATATTCTTTTAAAAATCCACGCCTCTGTTAGACCCTGAAAAAATATTCTTTTAAAAATCCACGCCTCTGTTAGACCCTGAAAAAATATTCTTTTAAAAATCCACGCCTCTGTTAGACCCTGAAAAAATATTCTTTTAAAAATCCACGCCTCTGTTAGACCCTGAAAAAATATTCTTTTAAAAATCCACGCCTCTGTTAGACCCTGAAAAAATATTCTCTTAAAAATCCACGCCTCTGTTAGACCCTGAAAAAATATTCTTTTAAAAATCCACGCCTCTGTTAGACCCTGAAAAAATATTCTTTTAAAAATCCACGCCTCTGTTAGACCCTGAAAAAATATTCTTTTAAAAATCCACGCCTCTGTTAGACCCTGAAAAAATATTCTTTTAAAAATCCACGCCTCTGTTAGACCCTGAAAAAATATTCTTTTAAAAATCCACGCCTCTGTTAGACCCTGAAAAAATATTCTTTTAAAAATCCACGCCTCTGTTAGACCCTGAAAAAATATTCTTTTAAAAATCCACGCCTCTGTTAGACCCTGAAAAAATATTCTTTTAAAAATCCACGCCTCTGTTAGACCCTGAAAAAATATTCTTTTAAAAATCCACGCCTCTGTTAGACCCTGAAAAAATATTCTTTTAAAAATCCACGCCTCTGTGGGTGCTTCAAAAAATATTCTTTTAATAATCCAGCTGCTGTGGGTTCCTGAAAAATATTCTTTTATAAATCCATATTGATTGGAAAGTCCACACCTGTGGTAGTCCCTCAAAATAATATTACTTATTGGGAATATTTTTATTTTGACAATTAATAATATTTTATTAATTTATTATTTTGATTAATGGTCGGACAATAAAAAATATGAAATAAAAAAATTATGTCTTATCATTTAGGGACAGTGGCATTTGTCAATTTCAATTTCTTTATTGTTTTTTTTTCCGAATAATGCCTAGCTGACCGACGCTTTATTATCTAATCTTATGATAAACCTAATTCTTGGTCAATTCCATTGTTTTATTTTCGAAATAGAAAATAATCTAAATGTATGCTCTATGGATTCAAACTACCAAATTTATGGTCCAAAAGACCTTGCGCAATATTTTTAAAATTGGAACCTCTATTCATAATGCAGAGATTTTTTTCTACTCCACAGGTGTCATAGCTGCATCTATCCTATCCAAAATAAACTTATGCCATTATTCGAACAAAAAATATGCGATCAATAACAAATGCCCAACGTATGAATAACCAAACCCCTTACATCCATCACTCATACGACACGTGGTCCGTACAGGCGGCCTTTGCCATTGCTATTCTTCCTAACCAAAAGTATTAAGTGCGGGATTTATTATGGCGAATAAGAAATAAAGATAACAATCACAAATATTTATATCAGTATCGTCCAATAATAGATTTATAAAAGGTGTATGCGATACAAATAGAACAAAAAGAGGTCAATAAACACTCAAGGGGCCATAGCGGGGATTTTTTTAAATGAATATATTTTTCAGAGTCCAAAATAAAGTATTTTTAATAAATATATATTTTAAGGGACTGATACAAATTTTGAAGTTTAAACCGGTGAGCGGAGCAGTATAGTCGGACGGGGCCGACCATATGACAACTTTCACGAAAATCTAACTTTCTGTGGTACTACATTCTGAGCTTGGGCAATACTTCGTGATATTTGCACGCTCTTGACGACTAGAGGTTAAACCAGTAAGGAAAGTAGTAAAGTCGGACGGGGCCGACTATATGATACCCTTCACCACTATGGGTATATTAAACAGGACTATTAACATGTAATTGGATGAAAAAAAGTAATATTTATCTAAATGTGAATCTACCTAGATCTATCCATAAAGTATGTTAATCGACTTCAAACAAATATAAATAAGTCCGTTGGGCTATGTCTGTACTTCTAGAAAACGCAACTACGTAATTGTATGCTCAATTTTGTGCGTTGTGCACAATTTGATGTCAATCTGACTAACATGAGGAGTCTGATGCCCAATTTACTTGAAATCGGTCGAAAATATATATGGAAGCTCTATCCAAATATTAAGCGATTTCAAACAAACTTGTCACAGGTTAGGTTATACTAATTTCAGAACGTTTTGTTTCTATTGGTTCCTTAGTACGTCAATTACTTAAAATCAATCTATAATAAAAGGGAGCTATATCTAAATCTGAACCGATTTTCACGAAACTTGGCAGACATCATTCTAGGCTCAATTAAGTACGTTATGCCAAATTTCGTGCTAATCGAAAGTTATATAGGGACTTTGGGGCACCATTTACATGAAATCGTACGAAACTATATGTGGGAGCTATATCTAAATCTGGGCCGATTTTCTCGAAACTTGGTAGACATCATTCTAGGCTCAATTCAGTGCGTTATGCCAAATTTCGTGCAAATCGAAAGTTATATAGGGACTTTGAGGCACCATTTACATGAAATCGGACGAAACTATATATGGGAGCTATATCTAAATCTGGACCGATTTTCTCCAAACTTGGCAGACATCACTCTAGGCTTAATTCAGTACGTTATGCCAAATTTCGTGCAAATCAAAATATATATAGGGACTTTGGGGCACCATTTACATGAAATCGTACGAAACTATATATGGGAGCTATATCTAAATCTGGACCGATTTTCTCGAAACTTGGTAGACATCATTCCAGGCTCAATTCAGTACGTTATGCCAAATTTCGTGCAAATCGAAAGTTATATAGGGACTTTGAGGCACCATTTACATGAAATCGGACGAAACTATATATGGGAGCTATATCTAAATTTGGACCGATTTTCTCCAAACTTGGCAGACATCACTCTAGGCTTAATTCAGTACGTTATGCCAAATTTCGTGCAAATCGAAAGTTATATAGGGACTTTGAGGCACCATTTACATGAAATCGGACGAAACTATATATGGGAGCTATATCTAAATCTGGACCGATTTTCTCCAAACTTGGCAGACATCACTCTAGGCTTGATTCAGTACGTTATGCCAAATTTCGTGCAAATCAAAAGATATATACGGACTTTGGGGCACCATTTACATGAAATCGTACGAAACTATATATGGGAGCTAAATCTAAATCTGGACCGATTTTCTCCAAACTTGTTAGACATCATTCTAAGCTCAATTCAGTACGTTATGCCAAATTTCGCGCAAATCGAAAGGTATATAGGGACTTTGGGGCACCTTTTACATGAAATCGGACGAAACTATATATGGGAGCTATATCTAAATCTGGACCGATTTTCTCCAAACTTGGCAGACATCACTCTAGGCTTAATTCAGTACGTTATACCAAATTTCGTGCAAATCAAAAGATATATAGGAACTTTGGGGCACCATATACATGAAATCGGACGAAACTATATATGGGAGCTATATCTAAATCTGGACCGATTTTCACGAAACTTGGCAGACATCATTCTAGACCTAAATGATTAAGCTGTACCAAATTTCGTGCAAATCGAAAGATATATAGGGGCCGTTTACATTAAATCGGTTAAATATATATATGGGAGCTATATCTAAATCTGAACCGATTTTTCCCAATTTCAATAGGGTTCGTCCTTGGGCCGAATAAGTGACCTATACCAAATTTCATTCAATTCGGATCATAAATGCGACCTGTACTTTGTTTACAATTTAACATGGACAGACAGACAGACAGACGGACAGACGGACGGACGGACGGACGGACATGCATAAATCGACTTAGAAAGTGATTCTATGCATATTCTCAAAAGGAACCATGTGTCTATCTCGTTTCCTTTTGCCTGTTACAAACATATGCACAAAGACATAATACCCTGTACCACAGTGTGGTGAAGGGTATAAAAAATGTATTATTACAAATATTCAGAACAGCCCTTCTTATTAATTGTCCAGATTTCCTTCACCGTGGGTTGTGTTGTAATGTTCGACTGTCAATTGAGGCCTATAGA